CGACTGACTGACTGACTTGACAAATGTTTCGCAGATTGTAAAAGTAAGGATGCTAGCTATAAGTTGCAGAAGAATCCGTATGACTTCAAACTCGCATTCAGGGCTAGCCGTGATGGGTTCAATCATACTACATTTCACCGTCGCTGCGACAACAAGGGGCCTAGCATTCTTGTAGCAAAACTGGCAAAATCATCAATATTAATCGGCGGGTATAACCCTTTGGATTGGGGATTGTATGGTTTCCAACAATCACGTACAAGCTTTTTATTTATGCTAGATAAGGACAAGGACCTTGATTCCGCAACCATATCACGCGTAATCAATCCAGGCGCTGAGGCCATTTGCTGTGATGCAACCAAGGGACCAACATTTGGAAGCGGGCCCGATTTTGCAATTAATAATGACAAGACTTGGACATCAGTTCCGAAATCGTACCCATCGATATTTGATGATGTAAATGGAACTATTGAAGATTATGAGGTATTTACTGTTTGCAAAAAGACAGATCGGTATGTATACTCAATTATTGTTTCCAAGGTTTTGCACTCTTTCAATAACATTCGACCAACGTATATTAATTGTGTCAAAAAAATATTCTCCTGGTAGGCATTTTCATAGAGAGAACAGCTCGACACTCAGAAGTCCAACAGCTGAGACTCCAACGAATGGTAAAGGAACTAAAAAATTAACGTAGGTTCTTTGAAAGCACGTTTAGATTGTTCTTTTGTTCTTTATTGGTTATAACTTTACTAATTGCCTTATTATATTTGATCTAACCTAGAAAGTTCTGGCGTTTACAATAATATAATCCGAGTATAAATAACATAGTAATAGATATGTGCGATGGTTTATCCCTACCTACCAATCTAGTGTTTACTTGTTATCTAAGATAAGTAAAAGGTTTCATTGGTGGACGTTAAACGCATGAAACACAAATTTTCTAGGTATAAATTATTTGCAGTCTCTAATTCTTATCGTCGGACATTTGTTATGATTATAATGCAATAAATCCACCACATTAGCGAAAAGATATTTACCAAGACGTGCGCAGCGCTCAAAATTTAGACATGCCTCGACGTGATTATTAAACTCGAACCGAGAGCGATAAGTCAGATAATGGAACGATAAGGGTGATTTGTTAAACGTCGTCTTGATAGACAAACTTTTTCAAGAATGTT